TTTTTTCTCTCGATGGAGTGTACACAGAATTTTTTCTCTTGCTCCAAATATATGATTCTGATTCTGATTCATCAGATACACTCAAAAAATTTGTCATGAGCCGTGGGTTGAACAAAAGAACAGTTCAGCGGGTCTCCTGCAACACAACCGCTGGAAGAACCCAGCCGGTTTGAAAAGAACATCGAGATGAGCCAATCGTCAACAACAGAAACCCAGCGTGAGACATCGATCCTTCAATGCGACAAGGCACCTGGCACGGATGGCCTGTATTCCCCACTCTTGTAAGGTGGCGAGGTCCTGGTGAATAGTCTGAAATCCATACTGCAGATGTGGAGCGAAAACAGGATACCAGTCGAATGGAGCTCCTCCACCGTCATGCCAGTTTTCAAAAAGGATGCAGGGACGTCGTGCGAAAATCACCGTGGCATAAGCCTTGTCATTATCATTACCAGGTGTAATAACCGCGTGAACGGATCGTTATTATTTTGTAAACAGACACCCAGAAAGTATAGCCAAGCGGGAGAACGTCACTTACCGCCGACAGACTTGCTAGTTTTCTTGAACAGCTTACTTTCAAAGTCCAGTTGTTCCTTTGGGCCAGAGAAAGACGAGTCATAATACTACATGGTGAGTTCAAAACATTAGAGTGGCTCACCTTCGCAATAATTCGTTTTCCATCACTATCTAAAATCAGTATCGACTTGATGGAATACAGTGATGGCTCCTACAGCAGATGAATAAATTGAGACGTGGAACCCACCAGTAGCATTTCGAACAGGACACTAACAGAACGCCCTTGACTGATCGCGCTTCGATCAATCAGTGCTTCAGTTCAGTGCAGATGGTGGTTGGAATAAACTTTGTCAAGTTTGTCATCCCTAACTCGCCCCATAGATGATATGTACCGCTGAGAAACCCAGGTTTTTCAAAGATCTGTTATGAATTCAGCGAAAAATAAAGGATTCCAGAGTATGCGTCAAGTGAGGCTTGTATGACGACCAATAAGTTCCCAGGCGCATTTATGTGACTGTATAGAGGAGCGACAGGCCGGAAGAACGTAGCCAAGAATAGCAGATATTTCATTCATCTAAACCTTCACGAATTCATGGATTCACGGGTTGATACACAGGATCGAGGCTTTTGCCCAAGATTCCCGGGTCGGTTTTGTTCTTGTTGGTCAGTGGCTGTCGTTCACCTTAAGGGCACAAGTTCTCAGCGCGGGGCAGTATGCTTGATTGCGCGAGGATTCGCGTAACTAAATATCCAACAGTGCTTTAAACTGGGTTCTAGAAGGAGCGTGAACAACCGCCGGAGGAAGGTCATTCCACGTAGCTACTGCCCGAAACGAGAAAATTTTCGTCTAATGAATGTGTGCGTTCTGAGCTTGAAAATCTTCGCACTACGTCCGTGTGTTTGCCGGCTCAACGACGAGAAACCTGGTTGCCAAGTTTTGTTCAAAAAGGGTATAAGTAAGAATCAGGTCCCCTTGGGGGCGACGGTACTCCCTGGGAAAGAGACCAAGCATCGCGATACGCGTTTCGTAGTCCACGGGTTTGAGGCGGGTAACGATTCTCGTAGCGGCTCGCTGGACACGCTCAATGAGGGCGTGCGTTCTGAGTAGACAATTAGGTTGGCGTATTTAAGGAGCAGTCTGACGTAGGCCCCATAGAGTAGAAAGTCCATGCTAGTAATACTGGAGAAGGTGTATCGGATCATCCGTAGAATGACAACTGCCTTCTGGGACGATTTCTCATGATGCAGTGAGAAGGACAAGTTTGAGGTGACCCAGATGCCCAAATCCCTTTTGGCATCTATCCTCATGATGTTTTCTTGTCCTTTCTCACCATGCATAACAAAGGCATTCGCGGAGTCTCCTCCAAGCGATATATGCGCGCACTTTTCGTCATTCAGAGGAAGGTGCAAGCCCAACGACCACGGTTTTACAGCGTCTACATCCATTTGTAGGGCACTGGCATTGCAATTCCAGGATTTCAACTCGTTCGCAAAAGTAGACATGGACTTGCAAGAACACCTGGAAGATCGTTGACGTAGATCAGAAACAGCAGTGGTCCCAGGAGGGAGTCTTGAAGAATTCCAACGGCGCTGGAGAAGGGTAGGTCGAGCCTATTCTCACTCGGAATGATCTGTCTGATGGGATTGCCTTGATCCAATGAAGGATGTTATCGTGGATCCCGTAAGATTCGAGTTTGTAGAGCAGCTGGACGTGTGGGACCCTATCAAATGCTTTTGAGAAATCGAAAAATATGGCATCCGGTGGTATGAGTCTCTTTGGCCTGGTTTAAGCTGTCCAGAAATATGAGCATGTTCGGCACGCAAGTGCGGTGTGGGAGAAATCGGTGTTGAGCTGGAGATATCAGGTTGCTGAAAGTAAGGTGGTCTGTGATAGCTGGCCCCAGAATGCGTTCCATCACCTTGCACGACACGCTAGTGAGGCTTTTAGGCCTATACCTGCCAGGCGATTGTAGGTCACCAGTTTTGTAGGTTGGCGTGACAATCGCTTCCGTCCAAGCAGAGGCAAGGCGGCCTTCGTCAAGCGACTGACGACACACCAGGTGTAGATGATTAGCCAGTGTGAAGGACATTTCTGCCAGGATCCTTGGATGGACCTCGTCGGGCCCCAACGTGCAAAATGGGTTGATTTGGTGCAAGAGTTGGCGAATGCCCTCCACCGTAAAGACCAAGTCAGTTAGAGGCTGTTCGTAGTTCCACCTTGACAAGAGCGGATGTGACGAGGACGCTAGGGCCGAGTAAAGACAAGTATAGTGTTCTCTGTGAACCTCAGATACCACTGTTGGGTCACTCAGGGGTTCTCCGTTCTTGTCCCTCGAGAAGAACGCGGATGGCTTGTTTTGGCGGCGATGTCCCATGTAGTTGAACAATAATTTTTCGTTTTTTTTCAAGCGAGGTCCAGAATGGTAGCTTGTTTTCGTTGGTGGGTTTCTGATTTACAGTGTTTCTGGCTTTTACGAAATGCCAGCTTTATCCCCTGTGGTCAACTTTTTGAAAACAAGGTTAGGATCTTTTATCCGGAAATGGCCGAATCCTTTTTGGCAGCCTCCGGTTCATCCGAGTGCGAGCCGGTATTTTGGGGCGAACATCGCGTCAACCTCGTGAACTTACTGGATAATGGTCCTACACAGTTCTTCCATTGGAGCTGGTCACAGTGTGAATTGTTCAATAAAGATGCGCATTCCTGATATATCTGCACGACAGAAGTTTCAAAGCCCCGTTTGATGTTCGGGATTTCTCTCTCAATAGCGGATGAAATCAAAGGTCAGCACACAGTGGTCGATATGTCTCAGTGGAGCATTAATTGTTGCCTGATCAACGAAGTGTCTTTCGTTGGTGATGACCGAATCCAGGAGGGATGGTAGTTGGCCTGCGCGGTATCTGGTGGGTGCAACGACATGTTGGTTGCAAGCGCTCTGTTGAACAACTTCAATCAGCACCGCTACAAAAAGTCCACTTGACCCGACGCGCTGGAGTTCCACCATGGGGCCTTTGGAGCGTTGCGTTCATCTACCAGCAGGAGATGAGTGAAGTGGTAGTTGGAGGAGAGTTGCTCAAGCGCTTGTATGAGGAATTGGTCATCTTCAGGGAGACTCGAGGGGCTACGGGTTTCCACACTGAGAAGGGGAAAATCGGATCCGCGCAGCGGGATCCGTACCCACAGTGCATCGCAAAAAGTCGCGGAGGTGGTTTCAGAGAGGACGGGATCGGTAGGGCCGCATGTAAGTACAGAGCAACCCCATATATCTCCCTCGTTTTGAGTCAGCTCGAAAAATAGAGTAACCCTCTATCGAGATCTCCGCATCAGAGACATCTGGTGTGAGCCAGGTCTCTTTGAGTGCGATTATGGACGGTCGTTCAAGACAAGCTGACTGTTTAACATCGCCGAGTTTGTTGAAAAGTCTGAAGCAGTTTGTAGACAAGCATTTCAACATTGTCACTGCTGCCTCCGAAGGTGAGGAGCCGAAAGTTGAGTGACCAGGTTGGTTAGCAGACTTAATATTTGTGCGCCGGGTTTGAGTCAAAGGCCACAAAGGGGCTTGTGGGGAGATGTTGTCTGCTCCCTGTCTTCATGGCTTCTGGGGATCCTTTTCGCTTGCGAGTTTTTTTCGTTTCCTGAGAGCCCCGTGTGCTCGGGTCTTTAAGCTTTGGGGCAGAGAGTTTTCCCGTGGGCGAAAATTTCGACCGTTGCTGTTTGTAGCTCGTTCAACACCCATTTTTGACGACTGGATTTGCTTTTGATCAGAGATTTGGGGCAAAATTCCGACTTCCTGGATTCTTGGGTGTTTTGGGGCGGTTTGACCAGAAAAGTGTCTCTGTGAGGCCCTGAGCGCTGGATAATATGGGAACTGCAATAGCCACTCAGTGAAGCGATATGTTGCACCATCTGATCGGTCCTGTGCATGATTTAAATCACCGTTGTCTGCTCATTTGATTGATTTGCGTCCGCTCATCTACCATCCATCGCACCGTTTATTACATCACCTGCACGAACAACAGACTGTCCTCCTATTCCTGACGCTGCAGCCATTACAGCTTAACTAGATGAGAACCCGTGGGTTCGGCTGTCCCATCTTTAACAACTCTTCCCTCATTTCGCACGTACAATAAATATCTAATGGCCACCGTGGGTTATGCGTGCAGCCCTACTTGCCCCTAAGGAAGAACGATTTTTAAAGAAACGCATTCAGGGCTACACTAAAACCCTGCACACTCCCAAACCGTTTTCTCAGTTGTGGCCTTGCGTTCCTCGCCGATGTCCTCGGCTTGACACCCCTCAACATCCATCGCGAAAACCAGCCACAATCTAGCAAGCCCTCAAACCCGCTTGCCACAAATCTGGAAGCTTGACCCAGCTCCAAGTAACCTGACAACCATCGGCACAGTCGCTTGTGAGCCAGAGCTCATCCATAACAAGATTCGCTCCGTTTTCAAATAAGATGATCGGACTGACACATTACCCGCAAAGTGTAAATTGTGGTGCAGGTCTAAAGACTCCTGGAGCCCATATACCGCGTTATTTAAACGCCGCTATGTCTTCAATTTTGCCGGACTATCGAGGTGTCCCTTCACCGGAGCTCTAAGCCAGCTTTCATTTATCCGCCGATACTCATCCTACACTTTTTCGTCAGTGTTCGCTTATTGTCTTCCGCCATCCAACCGGCACGTAAGTGCCAGCCCACAGATACATTCCCTACCACCGAATTCTTCAGCATCTGAGGCCTACACTCCACACCGTCCAAGTATCTCCAGTCTCTATTTCCACATTTAAGACTTCCACAATCTGAAGCACATCCCTCTGTCCCCTTAATGGCCATGCATCCTTCAGCCACCGAAACCACGTAGTGCCCCTTTCCACAACAATGTAAGTTAGTCCAACGTCCAACCTCCGCGAACAAAATTAATCGCATCAATCATCTTTTACTTTGTCAATATAACGAAGAAGCTTCCTGCACCAACAGATTTCGCCTGCCCCATGATTGCTCATTGGACGTCTTCCCCTATGGTTTTTCGTCTAATAAAACCGGGAACTAGATTTCGATGAACAGACCAGTTCAGTTTACCGTGAGCACGGTAGCACATGCGGCGGAATTCCCGTTTCCCAAGTGACCATAATCATTATACCTCTTTGTTTCCGTCCTTGATAACGGGGTATTGCCAAGCGATGACCGGTTTTATTCGCCGCCCCTACTCATCCACAGTCGAAGATGCATTGTCCCGCACAAATTTCTCCGCATTTACTCATTTAATCACTCTGAATAAATGAAAAACTGAAATGTTAACGGCCGTTGATCATTAACCTGGCACTACATGTTTCGGTTTTCAGTCCGCGTTTGTAAACAGCATGGACTGCTGGGCATTCCCAGCGTTTTTGCAGCACAACATCAATAAGCAAAGAGCAGCAACGCTGTTTTATGCTCGGATTTCGGTGGTGAGCTCCAGCGATAGGTGAGAGTGCCGTCCCCATCCTTCAGGCTTTTATAACCACACTGCTTAAATGTGGAAGTTGTGAAGTACGTTTAAAACGAACCAGTATCCCAGGCTTATTCGGGTTTGTCCTCCGCTGGTGCTATATGATGAGAGCAGCAGCCATCTTAGTACCTTGGGGCGGCCAAAAACTTGATTGCGTGCCACTGAGATCAGGCGAAATGAATCACTGCCGGGGTCCTGGAATTCAGGAGACCTCATATTTCCTGCCATACCCCCAGTCGTTTATACCACACAAACGCGCTGGGCCACTCAAAAACTAGAAAAGCTGAAATGCCTTTCTATAGCGAGTAGTGCTATGAAGCGCTGAGTCACTGATAATATCACCCGGATATGGGACCACAACCACCTGAGAACCAATGCGGCTTGGTCACACGGTGAACACAACTCATTGGGATCAGCCCTTTTGGTCTCTATTGAAATACAAGGTCTGGAAAACCCCTCGTATATTTTTACTCCCGTCATCGCACATACGGCATCCTATCATCTCAGCAATAGTAGGTTTCGCTTCCCGGCGCGCCGCTAGATTGCTAAATATTGATAACGTATTTATGACAGGTCCGACGGAGAGGAAGTGGAAGCCAAAAATGACACGCTTATTGTGCTGATAAATGATCGTAAAGTGTGGGGTTCAAAATGCCCACTCAATAAAACTGGGTAGAAACGGGTCTTTTCGGTAGAAACCGTTGAGCGATTTGAGAAGAAACTGAGAACAGCTATTGTCACTGGGTCATTTCGAACGGTTAGATGAAGACTCAGTATCAAGGGGAGCGCAAACGAGGATGGTGGTGTGTTCAGGTCGCAACGAGGAGATATAACGGCCTGCATAACATGTAATTTGAAACTGAACAAGCACGCCTTTTTCGTTGTTGTGGGGGACTCGCGAGTGACAGGACTTTCGACGGGTAAATAATTGGTAATATGTAGAACCGAGATTGCACCACAAAGATAAATGAATAGAACAAGTGGAAAGTATGCCCAAACACCACGGTGCCTGAATCCTAAGAAAGGGCTCATCTGATTGAAAAGTGCACCCGCGCCATCAGCGATTTTGTTCTATTTGAAAGCAACGGTCCGATAAAGCTGGACGATTACATGAAGAAAAGATCTCCTGTGCGTCATCAGAGTGGGTACGGTAGTGTCATGTCAACATAGAACCAACCAACTTCCGCTTCCAACCACGCATTTGACGGACATCTTTTCTAAGGTAATTGAACAAATTATATATATTTTGAAGACCTATATATATATTGAAGACCTATGTGGATGGAATGCGAAAGCCAACCATTTAGGGTAGTAACCAAACAGTTCGATTAGAGCAGAACATTTAAAACAATTCAGCAGAATGACTGCAACAAGATCAACCGAATCTGTATTGCGGAGTATTTTCAAAACCACGACGCCCATAGTTAATGCATTTGGCTGAGGGAACAACAGCTAGCATTTAAATGACCCGGACTGTGAATAAACTTTTGCTCTGTTAACTAGGGATCAGGCTATCGCCAGGGCTAGTGATACACTACCATCAGGTATGATTCGCATAATTCGGAGCTGACTTGGGCAGTGTGTGGTACCATCCGAGGAATGAATAAAAAAAGAGAGGCGATAATGATGTATTTACTTTGTCGTTTCTTCCAAGCGCCTGCAGGGCAGCAGCACAGAAAGAGAATGGGTTCAATCTTGCTTTTGGTGTGTCGTGGATTCTGTTTAATTAAAAACAGTACAAACAATATATTTATATTCATCGTTGCACACGGCCCNGACTCGAGGGGCTAGGGTTTTCCACACCGAGAAGGAGAAAATCGGACCCACGCAGCGGGATCCGTACCCACAGTGCATCGCAAAAAGTTGCGGAGGTGGCGTCAGAGAGGACGGGATCGGTAGGGCCGCATGTAAGTACAGAGCAACCCCATATATCTCCCTCGTTTTGAGTCAGCTCGAAAAATAGAGTAACCCTCTATCGAGATCTCCGCATCAGAGACATCTGGTGTGAGCCAGGTCTCTTGGAGTGCGATTATGGACGGTCGTTCAAGACAAGCTGACTGTTTAACATCGCCGAGTTTGTTGAAAAGTCTGAAGCAGTTTGTAGACAAGCATTTCAACATTGTCACTGCTGCCTCCGAGCGTGAGGAGCCGAAAGTTGAGTGACCGGGTTGGTTAGCAGACTTAATAGTTGTGCGCCGGGTTTGAGTCAAAGGCCACAAAGGGGCTTGTGGGAAGATGTTGTCTGCTCCCTGTCTTCATGGCTTCTGGGGATCCTTTTCGCTTGCGAGTTTTTTCGTTTCCTGAGAGCCCCGTGTGCTCGGGCCTTTTAGCTTTGGGGGACAGAGTTTTCCCGTGGGCGAAAATTTCGACCGTTGCTGTTTGTAGCTCGTTCAACACCCATTTTTGACGACTGGATTTGCTTTTGATCAGAGATTTGGGGCAAAATTCCGCCTTCCTGGATTCTTGGGTGTTTTGGGGCGGTTTGACCAGAAAAGTGTCTCTGTGAGGCCCTGAGCGCTGGATAATATGGGAACTGCATTAGCCACTCACTGAAGCGATATGTTGCACCATCTGATCGGTCCTGTGCATGATTTAAATCACCGTTGTCTGCTCATTTGATTGATTTGCGTCCGCTCATCTACCATCCATCGCACCGTTTATTACATCACCTGCACGAACAACAGACTGTCCTGGTATTCCTGACACTGCAGCCATTACAGCTTAACTAGATGAGAACCTGTGGGTTCGGCTGTCCCATCTTTAACAACTCTCCCCTCATTTCGCACGTACAATAAATATCTAATGGCCACCGTGGGTTTTGCATGCAGCCCCACTTGCCCCTAAGGAAGAACGATTTTTAAAGAAACGCATTCAGAGCTACACTAAAACCTCGCACACGCCCAAACCGTTTTCTCAGTTGTGGCCTTGCGTTCCTCGCCGATGTCCTCGGCTTGACACCCCTCAACATCCATCGCGAAAACCAGCCACAATCTAGCAAGCCCTCAAACCCGCTTGCCACAAATCTGGAAGCTTGACCCAGCTCCAAGTAACCTGACAACCATCGGCACAGTCGCTTGTGAGCCAGAGCTCATCCATAACAAGATTCGCTCCGTTTTCCAATAAGATGATCGGACTGACACATTACCCGCAAAGTGTAAATTGTGGTGCAGGTCTAAAGACTCCTGGAGCCCATATACCGCGTTATTTAAACGCCGCTATGTCTTCAATTTTGCCGGACTATCGAGGTGTCCCTTCACCGGAGCTCTAAGCCAGCTTTCATTTATCCGCCGATACCCATCCTACACTTTCTCGTCAGTGTTCGCTTATTGTCTTCCGCCATCCAACCGGCACGTAAGTCCCAGCCCACAGATACATTCCCTACCACCGAATTCTTCAGTATCTGAGGTCTACACTACACACCGTCCAAGTATCTCCAGTCTCTATTTCCACATTTAAGACTTCCACAATCTGAAGCACATCCCTCTGTCCCCTTAATGGCCATGCATCCTTCAGCCACCGAACCCACGTAGTGCCCCTTTCCACAACAATGTAAGTTAGTCCAACGTCCAACCTCCGCGAACAAAATTAATCGCATCAATCATCTTTTACTTTGTCAATATAACGAAGAAACTTCCTGCACCAACAGATTTCGCCTGCCCCATGATTGCTCATTGGACGTCTTCCCCTATGGTTTTTCGTCTAATAAAACCGGGAACTAGATTTCGATGAACAGACCAGTTCAGTTTACCGTGATCACCGTAGCACATGCGGCGAAATTCCCGTTTCCCAAGTGACCATAATCATTCCACCTCTTTGTTTCCGTCCTTAACAACGGGGTATTGCCAAGCGATGACCGGTTTTATTCGCCGCCCCTACTCATCCACAGTCAAAGATGCATTGTCATGCACAAATTTCTCCGCATTTACTCATTTAATCACTCTAAATAAATCAAAAACTGAAATGTTAACGGCCGCTGACCATTAACCTGGCACTACATGTTTCGGTTCTCAGTCCGCGTTTGTAAACAGCATGGACTGCTGGGCATTCCCAGCGTTTTTGCAGCACAACATCAATAAGCAAAGAGCAGCAACGCTGTTTTATGCTCGGATTTCGGCGGTGAGCACCAGCGGTAGGTGAGAGTGCCGTCCCCATCCTTTAGGCTGACATAACCACACCGCTTAAATGTGGAAGTTGTGA